AGCTAACAGTAAACGGAGTACGCGTGAAACTAGCATTGTTGTCACTATATGAAAGTACTTCAGTTCACCCGTTTCCGTATGGCGCAATACAAATCCAAAGGAAATGCTGATTGTTGCACGACAACTCAACCGCTTGAAAACTGACTCCAGAATGTTTCTCATATTGACGCCAGGTGGCGTCATTCTGATGTTATAAATGTCTTGTATCGGTCTTTCGGTGAGTAGGCGTGATCTGAAGGTCCCCGAGTTCTCTCTGTAGATGTGGGATATATCATCTTCATTTTCATCTCATTCTTCAAGCCATTTGGAAGGCCCAAAAACATAGCCCTATGTCACGGACAGCGATAGGCAAGTCTGAATTTGTCGGCAGTCTTTCTTTTTTCTTCTTTTTTTTCAGTAGATCAACTGGAAAAAAAAGGAACAGAACTTTTACATACCTCATCCACTTGATTCTCGTGTACAGACGCTTGTTCAAGTGGTCTCTGAGGGGGATATCGACAGGATTGTAAACAAATCATCCATCCTGTTGATACACAAAGAAAAGCAAGTCTAAATAAATATCCCAACTGTGTTGCTTATGACAAACTTTCATACTATCAAAACGTAATATACATGTAGGACAATGCTCGCATGTTTACAAATATAAAACATACTTACAAATGAATTAAAACAGTAGGCCCCGAAATGTGTGGACAATATCTACCAGTATATGGAATTCCTAAAATTTCAAATTTATATAAATCCAAAATTTAACAATTAACATGTGTTTCCGTGGCTTTCTTGACTTTTTTTATTGCAACATGGGACAATAAGTTGGCTTTTGCAGAGTCTGCGTGTTTTCTAAGCACGACATCAGAGGATTCTTAGTTTCATTAAAACTAGTAATAAGAGGTGCAACTTTAAACGATGTTTCAAAATGAGAAATATCAATACATTGTCATTGGTATCGACCCTTGTCATTGGTAAAGCAGGTTAAGATTCTAAAAAGTTCTAACAAAATGGAGTTGTAGTTGGCAAAGTACAATAACGAAATACATTTTAAGAAACTTCAACCAAAAAATTAAAACTACGGCAACAATATTTATCGGTACACGTTAAATGGCTAGATGTTAAAAGCAAACCTTTTGCATTAAAAAACATATCCTTACGTTTTCATACATCTCATCAGCGATTCGTTGAATTTTGTCCAGTTTTCTGTCTGTGTAATCAGGACTCTGCCAAGGCACAGACATAATGTGGAAACAGTAAGTTGAATGTCTGCTCTCGGTGGATCAATCAGATATGAACCGGTCATATCTAAATATAGGCCCTACCCTCAGAAAATGTATTTCTTAAATAATTAGAATACATGTAAACACCGGCATAGCCAACAGAGAACTCTTTGTCGAACGTCTGTCTTCAAAGTAAAGGAAATCGCACATCAGTAAATTCCAGCTGCTGTTGTGTTGGCCTTGTGTAGACTGTTGGTGAGCTCATCTGAAAATGACAGATTGGGGATTTACACTTGTTTACGGCCATTCTGGAACCAGCTTTTCTTCCTTTTGTACATTGCTCGTCCCAATCGACCCATACTGCTGCAGAAATTGCTGGCTCATATTTGAATGTTTCCCCCTGTGTGAGCATGTGACAGAATGCATATTGAAACGCCACTCTCGTGCAGAAATGCCCATAGTCGACTCTTCAGAAAATGGTGGTCAAGTGGTAAGACATCTGGCGTTAGTAAGCAGGAGGTCCTGGGTTCGAGTTCCTCCCAAGCGATTCTCTTCTTACAATCACTTGAGGGCAACACTGAGTATACTGTGTATAAACAATCCACAATGTGATACAGGCGCTAAATTAAAAGCTCAGCATCATTTAAACCCTGTCCACATTTCTCCTACCAATGTACATTTGGCCGGCTTTTACTATGTAACTTTTGTTGTATTTCCAAGTGAGTAACTCAAGTTGCAACCTCTACAGAAGTAGAGAATTGAAAACCAAAATATGCGTAACTGACTTGGTTTATTCTGCCTACAAGTGTATGTAGCGGATGATGTCAGTATTTAAACAATTAGAGGAGAATGACGGAAAAGGTTTGTTTCAGAATATTTTGCCAGAGCCAGCAAAATATCCACCTTTGAAAAAAGTGACTAGGTGATCGGATTTGTCAAAGGTTGAAACAAACCTTTGTCACAATTGTCTCTTCTTATTTGTTGCTTGGATCACAAAGAACCTGGATGAGGGTCCTCCATTTCTTCTGCAAGAACAATTTCCAGGATTACGTAGGTGACGCTAGAATGGAATCCTTCAGAATCCGCATAGCCGCCTCAGCATAGTTGTTGGTGTTGTAGCCCCTGATCATCAGATGCACCCGAAATGCCACAGCCCAAACCTCACGTCTTTCAAATAAGCTGGTCAACGGTCAAGTATTGAATGTAGTTGGAATACCTGACCAGGTAAAAAAAAATAAACAAAAGCTTTCTTAATCTGAGTTGACATAAAGACCTAGAATTTATATCTTTTATGTCAACACCGATTTAGTATGGGACGACTGGCAAAGTAGTCGTCCCTTACTGGTACCTATTAACTTTGAGAAAACTGAGGTCTTCCCCATGCAAAGAGCTGCGTCAAATTGCACCTTGCTGATTACATTTACACAGCGAAGGTTTCTAACAAGCAATTGATGCTTTCTGGGGAAAAAATTAATACCCGCAAAATTACCGGACAAGAAGAGGGTCAAGCAAGGGCTCTGGTGAAGGCCTCTTCAACTGCACTGATGCTTGGGGCATAAACCATCAGCTTGGCATGGGTAAACAAGCTCTTGCAATGCTCCTTCTCGATACCATGATTTGCAGGCCAGACCCATCTCCACACTGCTTGCGCGAAGAGACGGGAGCCAGTGCTGGTGTGGCTCGTGCAGGCGAAGATGCCGGTGGTGGTGGCGACGACTCCCCTTCATGAACTCCCCCTCGTCGCTTTACCAATGACACCAGTGGCATGTCATCCTCTGAGTCTGACTCAAGCAACTCCTCTCTGCCGCGTTTTAGAGCTAGAAAGAAATAAAGGAAAATTATTATTAAAATTGAGCTTAAAAATAGTTAACCCAAAGGTTACAACCGCTCGGCAAGTTCATCGGCGGTGTAGAAGATGGTGACAAGTTTGAGGCAAAGTGTTTGGGCATTGGCCGACTTGTGGAACGCATCCATGTACAATGCTTTGGAGATGGCAAGGGTGTTGCTCCCGTGTCCAATGTGTACAGTGTCAGGGCCAGTCTCGATGACTGAGGGACCCTACTTGAGACAGATGGATGGTTGGGACTGCTGTGCGGCTGCCAATGATTTGATGGCCTCAGCCAGAGCTGCAGTGTTCAAATCGGACGATTTCCTTGCGGCTGCAACCTCTGCCTCAACGGTGGCAAGCCGGGCCAAGATCTGCTTCTGGAACGCAATGACCTCTTGCAACAGGTCATCACGCAGCGGGGGGAACAGCAGAGTGCTTATGAGGACCGATTCGTCAAAAGAGTCAGGTGGGGCTCTTGCGAAGGAGAAGGGTGGCATGAAAAAAGGCTGCGTGAAGAGACTTCTCTCCGAGAGACAGTCATCAGTGATGAACACTGCCGGTCCCTGCTCTCCTCTGCCTCCAAAACATTGCTCAGGTAGAATGGACTTCCACAGCTCAAGACCCTCAGTGATGGTTTGTTCCCGCTCATTGGATGAAGACTGTTGGTGAGCTCATCTGAAAATGACAGATTGGGGATTTACACTTGTTTATGGCCATTCTGCAACCAGCTTTTCTTCCTTTTGTACACTGCTCGTCCCAATCGACCCATACTGCTGCAGAAATTGCTGGCTCAAATTTGAGAATGTTTCCCCCTGTGTGAGCACGTGAGCATATTGAAATGCCATTCTTGTGTAGAAATGCCCATAGTCGACTCTTCAGAAAGTGGTAAGACGTCTGCGCTAGTAAGCTGGAGGTCCTGGGTTCGAGTCCCGCCCAAGTGATTTTTTTCTTACAATCACTTAAGGGCAACACTGAGTATACTGTTTATATACAATCCACAGTGTAATACAGGCGCTAAATTATCATACTTTCATTGAAACCCTGTCCACATTTCTCCTACCAATGTACACTTGGCTGGCTTTTACTATGTAACTTTTGTTGCATGTCAAAGTTAGCAACCAAGGTTTCAACCTCTACAGAAGTAGAGAATTGTGAACCAATATATGTGTAACTGACTTGGCTTATTCTGCCTACAAGTGTATGTAGCGGATGATGTCAGTATTAAACAATTAGAGGAGAATGCTGGAAAAGGTTTGTTTTAGAATATTTTGCCAGAGCCGGCAAAATATCCACCGCTGAAAAAGTGACGAGGTGATCGTATTTGTCAAGGTGATCGGATTTGTTGAAACAAACCTTTGCCACCATTCTGTTCTCGGTCGTTTGTTGCTTGGATCACAAAGAATCTGGATTTTTGTCCTCTATTTCTTCTGCAAGAACATTTTCCAGGATTACGTAGGATTCTGGGCATTGGAAACCTTCATTATATAGGACGTACATTTTTTTGAAAAATATGTGGTTTATAATATATTCGTGTGTTGATGATATAGAAGGTACCGGTACCACTTTTGCATTCGGCATTTCCTCCTAACCCACAAGTCCATTACAATATGGTATATGGTATAGTTGGTATACCCACAAGTCCATGGTGTACGGTACACAAATTAGCGTACCCACACGTCCAATACAAGATGGTGCACAGTTTGTCAAATGGCGTAAGCCGTCTTGTCTTTAATAATTATGATGTCATACTCGATAAATATCCACAGACCTCTGTATACTGGATGACATTTCCAAAACTCTCTACCTTGGGTGCTAGTGTTAAAGGGGCACTGCGTCCTGAAATTCTCAAAAATTTCATGTTTTGGATTGCTTACTTATCCTGTTTTGAACATCTGGTTGAAAGGAAACCAACCTAATGTCTTACCGTTCTTGAGAAAAGAAAAAAACACATGTTGTTTACATTTGACGCGGCGGACATTTTCGGTTATCCGTACACAAATTTTCCAACCATCGTGAAATATTTTCAGACAATTTAAAATGTTTCTCAGTGCCGAATTAATGTCTTTTACCTTTTGGCAGTGCCCGACCTTCATGGAGATAATATATCATGATAAAATATTGGCGTCAGGATGCAACATTTCCGAATTTTGACAATTACTAATGGTTTACCTGTCTAGCAACAGCTTCACTAATCCGTCAGGCAGCCACTTTCATTTCTTAAAGCCAGCCACCGGGCATATTCCTCGCCGCACACAAGCTTAAGATGTTTGCTATCTCGTTTTTGTCAATCGACCTCCGTTTATTAGCTGAAGATTGAAGGGGTCTTCCAACTTTTCTTTTACTTCGTCCACCTTCTAGTGCATGTTCTAAGCACGTGTTCATTTTGATGTATGACTACGTGCATACACTGCTAGCGCTGCATATGACCGCATTCACCTGGCCTATCTAGTCCCACCGCACTTCACTAGGCTGAACGGCTGCTGCAGCTAAAGTGCTAAGCGCAGCACGCGGCTGTGGAAGTATGCACGTTTAATTCGGTAGTTGTGGATATTTCTCATTATTTTCATTAATCTAAAACAGCGGCGGTGTTTTTCCCTATTTTATTCTTCACTCAACCGATGAACGCACACGCTTTTTTGGTGAATGTTTTCCAAGGAATATCTCACCGACTGGAATCACAACTAGCACCCAAGCAGCTCAACTTTTTGGGGTCGCAAAAGTGGACCCAGAAAGTCTTTCTCGCATGCCTAACACAAGAATAACACAACAACGCCCAGTTGTTAAAGGATAGTTGTGTGGATGTTTATATCCTACTTTTATATGTTCTTTCAGATTAACATCAGTTCGTTCAAAGCGCGTTTTTTAGCCCAATTGGGTGCATCCAGGATGCAGTGTCCCTTTAAAAACGGCATATCCACCTCACAGCAGTCAACAATTGTTAAATGTTAAATGTGCACATTTCTTCTACCAGTGTACATTGGCTGGCTTTCACTATGTGACTTTTGTTGCAAAGTTAGCAACTGAGGTTTCAGCCTCTACAGAAGTAGAGAATTGAGAACCAATATATGCATTACTGACTTGGTTTATTCTGCCTACAAGTGTATGTAGCGGATGATGTCAGTATTACACAATAAAGAGGAGAATGCTGGAAGAGGTTTGTTTCAGAACACTTTGTCAGAGCCAGCAAAATATTCACAGCGGGAACAGTGACATACATTACAAGGTGATCGGATTTGTCAAAGGTTGAACCAAACCTTTCTCCCAAATTGTTTCTTCTTACGTGTTGCTTGGATCACAAAGAATCTGGATGTAGTCCTCCATTTCTTCTGCAAGAACATTTTTCAAGATTACGTAGGATTCTTTGTATTTGAAACCTACATCATATCGGACGTAAAGTCTTTTAATAAATTGAGTTTTGTAATATATTAATGTATTCATGATAATGAAGATGGCACTTTGCAACAGGCATTTCCTCCTATACCAACAGGCCCACTTGAGCTTGTTGTGTGCTACGCTCCTCCATGGAATGTTTCACAGAAAATGCTACACAAGGCTCTAGAACTAGGCAGGAGCAGACTGCTCCTGTCCCATGACACATCATGTACCAAACAAAGAAAGTCTGGCACATAGCCGGCTTCTCCGTAGCTGTGAACTTACTTTAATCATCAAGTAACAATAATAACAATTTTGTTTTGAATGACAGAAGCAAAGAAAAACCGACTCTGGAAAGAAGTGTATGAAGAAAGAGACAGTTTGGTAGAAAGTGGTGAATGTGTCTAAAGATGAGGTTAATACTTTTGTGCCCGCCCTTTTGTTGGTGGATGGGGGGGGGGGGCATCACGTCAAAGGGGGCCATGTCCTCATCCCCCCGCCTCATTTTTTTTAAATTGGAGGACTGAAGACATTTTGTTATTTTTTACTTTTACCAGTGCGTATCTCCCTCACAAGCCAAGAGCTACACATTTTAATTGTAATTGCCCTCCTCCCCTTATGGGCACATAGCCGGCTTCTCCTTAGGTGCTTTGCATGTGTTAAAAACGGCATATCCCACATCACAGCAGTCAACAATTGTTAAATACATGTATTGGAATATTAAATGTCCACATTTCTCCGACCAGTGTACATTTGGCTGGCTTTCACTAAGCAACTTTTGTTGCATGTCAAAGTTAGCAACTGAGGGTTCAACCTCGACAGAAGTAGATGTTGTATTTGGCTGTCTTACCGGAGATTCCAACAAGGCTGGCTGGGTTGAGTCTTTGGAATCGAGGGAACGGATACAATAATACAAGGTGTTTACTGGAAGGTGCTGTTCTCAAGACTAACACATGTTCAGCTGGGCAGCTCAGGAGACACCCAGCTGCGCCATGCTTCAGTGACTTTATTCATGCTTTACTACGCTTCAGTGGCTAGGGGTGGCAACATATCCACTTTTGAAAAAGTGACAATGTGATTGGATTTTTCAAAGGTTGAAACAAACCTTTGCCGCCATTTTGTTCTTTGTCGTTTGTTGCTTGGATCACAAAGAATCTGGATGTTTGCTCTCCATTTCTTCTGCAAGAACATTTTCCAGGATTACGTAGGATTCTGGGCATTGGAAATCTACATGTACATCATATCATATGTGAAGTCTTTGATAAATTGAGGGTTTGTAGTATATTCTGCATTCATGATATACCGGTAGAAGATACCACTTTGCAACGGGCTTTTCCTCCTAAACCAACATGCCCACTTGAGCTTTGTTGTCACATTCCTCCTTGGAACCTTTTTGCAAAAAGGGCACATGTGTTTATCATCTGACACATTGAACACAAATGACAATCAAATCAAACCTCTGGTTCCTGCTACTACAGATACTCATTACCAGATAACATATCTTCTTGCATTCTTCTCGTCAGAAGTTCTTCTCCATCAAGTACAACAGGTCGTGGATGGTTGATCAGAAATAATCCTGTGTTGTCACATTCCTCCTGGACACTTTTCGCTGAAAGGGCACAGGTGTTTACCTCATCATCTGACACATTGAACGCAAATGACAATCAAATCAAACCTCTGGTTCCTGCTACAACAGATACTCATTACCAGATAACATATCTTCTTGCATTCTTCTCGTCAGAAGTTCTTCTCCATCAAGTACAACAGGTTGTGGATCAGGTTTCTAGCCAGGATGAAATTATAGCGTAGGGGTATTTGCACGAGATGAATCTGCGAGCGCAAAGCCCTTACGGCGTGGGGTCCGGGGCCCGCCTAAGGGCCCCGAAAAATTTTGAACCCCAAGATGCTCTGTGGTGCATTCTGAGGCATTTCTGAAGCTTATACTTGAATATTTATGGGAATATTTCTTACCTTTTTTTCTGCATTTCTGTGAAAAAAATCTATCAAAATGACAAGTCCAGCAATGGCAAAGTTTGAACATAATTCTCAAGCCTTTAATTACTTCCTCAGATTTTCTCTTAATTGTCTTGGCAAGGAAGAAAATCACAATAAAATGTACAAAAACACAATACAGTCTGTGCTAACTTATGAATACATGTACATGTATGTATTTAACCCATGAGTTTTTTCTCGTATCGTCTGTAAACCTGTCCGCAGATAAAAAAAAATACATCTGCAATTAAGAAATGTATCATTTGAGACCAAATTAACTCGACTGTTTCTCAACTTCTTTCTTAATAAGAATTGTGTGTTACGATGATTCTACACTCAGTGACCCAGCCACCCCCACATTGAGAGTGACTCCCCACATTGAAAGTAACAAAGATCATTAAATTTCTAGTCGTCTCTTCCTTCTGGAAGCCCACAGGTTAGCTGCTTTGTCGTAGTCAAAAGCTGCTACATCTGGACCCTCAATGGCAATCATCAGCAGATGTCGTAGCGTAGCCTCTCCCATCCGATTTCTCAAGGTGGACTTGATCCTTTTCATGGCAGAAAAGTTGATCAGAAATAATCCTTTGTTGTCACATTCCTCCTGGACACTTTTCGCTGAAAGGGCACAGGTGTTTACCTCATCATCTGACACATTCAACACAAATTTGACAATCAAATCAAACCTCTGGTTCCTGCTACAACATGTACTCATTACCAGATGACATTTTTTTTCTTGCATTCTTCTCATCAGAGGTTCTTCTCCATTAAGTACAACAGGTTGTGGATGGTTGATTAGAAATACTCTAGCACAAGATCTAACACTCTGATCCAGTAGATAGACATTATTGGACTGCACATCCTCTTTGATACAAAGGACATCAACTTCTCTTTTGTGAAAATGTGTGGCCCTGAAAAGGGCCGTTTGGCTTTTGATTGGTCCTGAAAATGACCGTTTGTTTTTGAGTGGTCCTGCAGAGGATTGGTTGAGTTTACATGGCTCGTCTGTGGAGATGGCTACATGCTACAAGGAGGGCCGATGTCATGAGTGTCCTGTGCATGTAGTCCAGCATCTTGACGATTCGCCCCTCCACTTGTCTTGCTCTCTGTCGTTGGTTTCTGCACATCTTAGACTCTCGTACAAGCACCATCTTAAGGTTGATCAGCTTGGCCACTTGTGGAGCAGGGGATGAGCTTGTACCGTTGTAGTCCATCTCTAGCAGCTTTGCAATTGAGCCTCCGATGCCATCCCTCAACATCATTGTTGGTCCTGCTGCTATGCTTGACGATTGACCAGTCAGTGGTGGCTAGACATTGCTGTCAAGCCACGTATCTTGAATGTACTTGAATAACTGCGTCAGAAGTGGTTCAGTGACCTTGGACTTGATCTTGTCAAACGAAGCTCGGTTGTGTTCTTGGGGCAGGAATGGTATAGACGTCAGCTCCTGGATCAAGTTGGCTGGCTTCCGGAAGCTTGCAGGGGGGAGCGTCAGGGGCAGTTCCCGCCATCACCTCCTCGATGATAGCACTAGCAGAGTGAAACATTGTCTTTTTTAGAAATGGCCATAACAGTTGTTGCAGATATTAGCTAATATATGTCAGCTAACAATGCTGATAGTTTTGCGACTGTTGTTGATGAGCAGTTCGATTGTTTGTTTGAAACCAGTCCAAGAAGCTACACTTATTAGCAGTACCTTTCAAACAAAACTGGCTTGTTTTGAAATATTTTTTTACACAAGCCTGCATAGAAATGTGGCTGCCAAAGAGTAGCTATAATGTTACAGTGCTTGGTTTAAACCATGTTCACCAGCCTTGGTCTAAGCACAGTATTTACCCCAGTCATCAGCACTGAGTTCAGTCAAATAGTTTCGGCCATCATCTCCGCTGTCAACTTCTGTTATGTACTGGTTTTCAGTTATGTTGCCCTCTGTTACTCGATCTGTGGGGAACAACAATTTTCCCTAGAAAGTTGAAATGTATAGGAGTTTATTAAGGGAAAATGTGGATCATAATACATGGTTCAGACTATAATCATTATCCTTAAAAGCACAGTAACCTATTGCCTACCCAAGTCAGTAATTTAGCCTTCCCAGTGAAAATAAGCAAGGTTCGGTGTCTTTGAGTTCTCCTTTCTTATACACACATCAAATATCTTCTTCCATTATCTCATTTTGTAGGGTACCTATACATGAATAATCAAACAGGTTCACATTTTCCTCAAATCTTCCCAACTTACGCCAGGAATGGCATTTTCATCAGCATTGTTGCTGTCCCCACTTTCGATTCAGGCTCATTCATGTACGGAACAATCTGGCCGGCTCTGTTTGCATGCGCCTCATCCTAAGTCAGAGATGAAAAACTCTTCCTCCGAAAGTCGGCTTCAACTTCGCTTTCTGATGACAATTCTGACATGGTTCTTACACAGTTACAAGCAAAGAACAAGAATACACGAGTGCAGTTCATGTACCAATCCACCGTGGATTTAGCATGAAAGACATATTTGTACGCCGGCTTCGACATCCGGGGCGTTCGATGTAAACAGGAACTTCTCTGGGCGGTTTGATTTGTAATATTTCACATTACCCGCACTTCAGAGCCTTTTGTCATTTTGACACCGACACTTGCCATTTTGACAAAGAGAAGTGTCATTTTGACCCACAAGACATCAAATCGAATCTGATCCAGATTCCGGGTCGAATCCGACGAGGACGTTTAAGAGCGCACGGTACATTTACAGCCTTATATGCTGGTTTGTTGATGGAATCGGCGCCAGTGCATGAAGAGCAGCATTGTCTTGAAAGAGCACTTCATGTAGCTGGGAAGTATTCAGGGAAAGGGGAGAGGAGAGGGAGATTGGAAAGAGGTGGAGGGAGGAGGGGTGAGAAATGACGTTTTGACACCGAACAAATTATCTTTTTTGACAAAAGCGTCGTTTGACACCAGAGCGGTTATTTTGACACAAGTGTGTCAGGCCAAGCCCGATTCCGAGTCAAAATTCCGGGTCGAATCCAACAGGAACATTTAAGAGTTAACAGTGCATTTACATCCTTATATACATGTATGCTGGTTTGTTGATGGACTCAGTACCTATGCAGGCGTGTACACGTGAACATGGTGAAGGGTAGAACTTGCATTGAAGGGTACTCCATTTATAGTCCGGGAGCTTATGACATGAAATTAAGTCCCGTGGTCACCGAATGATTAGAACATGCCTCCTAGCTAGATACCTAACAAGAAAAACCATGTTGGCAAAATGTTATTAGGTCGCTGGAAAGTATTAAGGAGTAGGGGAGGGGAGAGGGTGATAGGAAAGGGTCAGGGTGGTGGAAAGAGGGGCATCCTTTCACATAGTGGCTCTTTTATTATGGGCTGCTGGAAATATTGTTGACAGAATCAAATACTAGATTTCAGAGATGAAACTTTTCAGATTTTAATCTGAAATCAGATTTTTTTTACTTTTCCAATGAAATTTCAGATTTTTTTGCGATCCCACAAAAATGATTATTTAACGATTTTTCCACAAAATGTTTTTTTTTTTCATTATAATTTCCAAAAAAAGTCCATGAAAAGTCGATGAAAATGGCACATAAAAGACCAACGCTGATCAGAGCCTTTTCCGGCTGGAGAAAAGGTTAAATACTGACCTATGACATGGAAAAATTCACTGGGTCCCACATTGATGCGCTGTGCTGCACTGCACTGCGTGATGCTGTGGCGGCTCGGACCCAAGGTCCAATTTCAGATTTTTTTTGCCAAGGCCAGTTTCATCTCTGAGATTTGTAACTTTCTCGGCATGTTGGGATTGCCCTCACACTGTTTGTGCTGCTGCACTCTAAAATGTCCCGGGTCATTTTTTGACCCGGAAAAGGGTCAGGCCCCACATGACCCTTTTCCGGGTCAAATCTGACCCGGGACTTTTTAGAGTGTGAGGTATTCTTTATAGTCTGGTTGTTAACCATTACATCAAATCAAAGATATTGCTTTAGTTTATTATTTATATTAAGAGTTGTGCATTTGATAATACGTTTATAGAATCGGGGACAGTGAAAAGTGAATACAGTTTACAGATTGTTTATTTTATTTTATTTGTTATGGTTTTTTTGGGGGGGGTTGAGAAATAATTTTCCAGTCGTTTACCTTTACGAAAGTTTGGTGGTTTAGTTTGAAGAAATAGATAACTGAAAAATGATTTTGTGACGATCATCAATGTTTATGAGTTTGGCGTCATCTGAAATATATGTTAATATACAAAATGTATTGATGCAATTCTGAAATATTTGTATATTTTCTCATTGCGGTCATTTGTAGTATCTATGCATGACTCCATCTCTCTCAAAATATGTACAATTTGTTTGAATATTTTTAGTGGTGTTCCCTAACGTGGCGCACTTCGAAGCCTACCCGACTTTCCTCGTGTAGTGTTGCCAAACCTCTTTGTTGACAAACCTCAAATTCATGCAGTAAAAAACTTGTACTTTTACCTTATTAATGCTTGCTATTTAACCTCTGTGAACAATTTCGGTTTCATAAATTTAACCCGAAATTCAAAAACGGTGGCGTCCGGAAATTGGGCACAAATCGGCGGACATGGCGGAGTGGTCCCTAACGTGGCGCACTTGAATTAATCTCGGAAAATTCCCAATTAACATGAAGAATTTCTGTAAACTAGATTAATTCTGATAAAACATTATTATCCCTACTTACATACCCAACCAGATGTTTGTCAGAAATTTATTTTCTTATTTTCGGGGCATTTTCAAAGGGTTCACTTTGCACTTGAAAATAAAATCGGAAAATCACGCCAAAATAAATTTTTCTTCTAACTTTGTAACGGGTGAATAAACTTGCGATTTATGAACAGGAGTGTTTAAAACGTGATGAAATTACACTTTCTGAGAAATTTCAGTTAAAAATTTTGCTCTAGGTAGGCGCTACAGGCGAAAAATCAAAGTGCACCACGTTAGAGGCCGCGCCACGTTAGGGTAGATCAACAATTTCCAATTAAAATTGTAGTCTACATTTTCCACGTATTCAATTTTGTTTTTCTTGTCTACCATAACTGTCACGCAAGAAATATTGATTTTGAACCATGTTGGTTTTCCTTTTCTTTGGTAACACTTCCGTAAACTGTTGTGAAATTTACAGAGAGTGTTGTGAACCTAACCAAATTATACTTTTAAAACATTATCTGTACATTGATTCGAAAGATTGTCTATTTTTAATTGGTTCACATAATACAGAATGTTTTTCTCTCGAATTTATTGTGTGCCTAAAGATATGAAAATAATTGGTATTGGCCTATTTCGTTATGATTATGAATAGTGAATAAAGTTTATCTTTATGCCTATTAAAGACAGACTTTGTTGCGTAACTCTGTTTCTTTTTCTCATTTTTTTCCATAGGTTTTGCACAGCGCACACGTTTCTTCCACCAGTCCACTTTGGCATTTTTTTTTAAATCCGATCTATTTCAGACTTGGTACATACTTATAACACAACCCATAGATGGTCCTAGAAGAAATTTGGGATCGTGACGTCATCAGGTGTCGGGTTACGTCACATTAAGATGATTTTCCCCCATATATTTTGTACACGTTTTAAAACACTCCAGTTTGGCATCTTCGTAAATCCGATCGACTTTAGACTTGATACATACTTAGACCACCACCCACAGATGGTTCTAGTCAAAATTCGTGATCGTGACGTCATCAGGTGTCATGTTACGTCACATGAAAGATGCATTTTCCCCATAGGGTTTGTACACGTTTTAAAACACGTTATTTCAACACTTTCATAAATCTGATGGACGTTAGACTTGGTACATACTTAGAACATCACCCACAGATGGTCCTAGAAGAAATTGGTGATCGTGACGTCATCAAGTGTCAGGTTACATCACGTAAAAGATGTGTTTTTCCCCATAGGGTTTGTGCACGTTTTAAAACACTTCACTTAGGCACTTTCGTGAATCTGATCGTCGTTAGACTTCGTACACACTTAGACCACCACCCACAGATGGTCCTAGAAGAAATTCGTGACCGTGACGTCATCATGTGTCGGGTTACGTTACATTAAAGATGCATTTTCCCCATAGGGTTTGTACACGTTTTAAAACACTCCACTTTGAGACTTTAGTAAATCTGATCGATTTCAGACTTGATAAATACTTAGACCACCACCCAAAGATTGTTTTAGAAGAACTTCGTGATCGTGACATCATCATGTGTCAGGTTACGTCACATTAAAAATGCACTTTTCCCCATAGGGTTTGTACACATTTTAAAAAACTCCACTTTGGCACTTTCGTAAATCCGATCGACGTTAGTCTTAATACACAGTTTGAAGTACCACTCACAGATGGTCGTGAAAGAAATTTGTGATCGTGACTTCATCAGGTGTCACGTTACGTCACATTAAAAATGCACTTTTCCCCATAGGGTTTGTACACATTTTAAAAAACTCCACTTTGGCACTTTCGTAAATCCGATCGACGTTAGTCTTAATACACAGTTTGAAGTACCACTCACAGATGGTCGTGAAAGAAATTTGTGATCGTGACTTCATCAGGTGTCGCGTTACGTCACATTAAAGATGCACATTTTCCCCATAGGTTTTGTACACGTTTTTCTTCAAACCATACACTTTGGCACTTTCAATCACATGATTGACTTTAGACTTGGCACACACTAATACCAGCAGCCGAAGATGGTCCCTGATGATGTGTTACAGATGGAAATTGAAGTAACGTCATCATGACGTCATCACATTTCATATGACGTCACATTAAAAGGGCATTTTCTAAAGCCTATATCTACAGAACCATAGGTCTGATTGGATTGTTACTTGATATACTAATACCTGGATCTGTTACAGATGAAAATTCAAGTGATGGCATCATCAAATGTCATGCGACGTCCATTAAGGGGTCACTTTTCTAAATTATAAGGCCTGTATCTACAGAGCTATATGCGCGATTTGGTTGTTACGTGATATGTACGTATAGTGTGCTGTTATAGATGACATTAAAGTGACGTCACTAATTGTTCACCACGTGTAAAGAGTATTTTAAATATCCAAAAATAGCTTGTGTTTGTCCACAAACACATTTCTAGTTTATATTTCGTTTTATATTTTTTTTTAGATAATGATTTATATATTGGAATAGTCTTGTTTAATTATTTTTGATTCCATTGTATAAATCACACGAAAGAAAGTAGAAAGATTTCAGTCCGTTTTCTTTTTCGGAACCAGTGATTGCAATAGTTCTCACCAGTTTTCCTCTCATATGTTAATGCAGAAGATTACCATGTGTGTACGATGCAGCTACTCACCATTCATTTAGTAGCTTAGAGCAGAATTTTACTATATCCATGCGGCCATGCAAAGACAAAAAAAGCCATAAAACGGTTATTTTAAGTAAAAGCGTACGTGCATGAACTGCAATGACGTTACAGGCTCCGTAAAGTCTGAAGTCTATCGATATACTGATGCTAATTTTGGGTAGCTGCGTGCAACACCAAAGATGCGCTTCAAAGGTTATGTTAATATGTCTTCCATTCACACAAGCCTGAAACACAGCAATGAAACACTATCTTGTTGGGTGATGGGTACTACCAGGTTTTTCCCATTGATCTAAGAAAGGTGCTTGGAAAACCACAAGGTATATTTCCCATTCTTTAATCAAAAACTGTAATCAAAAACTTCGCCAATTTACTTCTAATTTATCACTTTTTTTCATCCATCTTGACCTCGTTTATTATGAAGGTTTACAAATGGTAGTTAATTATGTACAATAATGAAGGACTCCAGCCTCCCTCTTTTTAAGTGCTTTGTTTTTGGTATTAGACTCCGTCCACCACAAATAAATTCACTTCCTTTTGACAATCTTCAAATGTTCCAAACGCAATTCATCTGTTAAATCTCTTAGACAATCGATAAATAACACATTTATCGCACGTATACATTTGTTCAATGTGTAACTTTTAAGGAAAAGTAAATCAATTTCTTTTTTTTAATCGAATATACACATTAATTGATGTTAATATGGTTTATAACTTAAAGTAATTGCTCTGATTTTTTCTGCATTTTTATAATGCGGACACAAAGGGTCATACCATCTATACTTCCTTCAAATTGTGAACAAAAAACTCCGGATTTTAAAACAGAACCAATAATTTGTTTGTGTTCGTTCTGCCATGTATTTACCGATAAGCTTTATTTGTTACCTCCGATAATCAGTTATACGCATGCGTGTGTAATTTCTCATTGAAAGTAATGGTCCATGAGCGAACATCTGCTTTTACGCCCCTAGAGTCAGATGGGCTTTACTTCAGACGACTTGCTTCAACAAAACTGGCTATAACTGGAAGCCTGTTAGGCCTACTTCAAAAAAGCGTACTCGACGCTGTTTTAGCGCATTCGTTCAGTAGACATCAATTTGAAAGCATCCAGTGCATTTCCGCCTCCTGACTTTGCTTTGGTTTTCAAGACTGTATCAACCTGAAATGTAAGCTTTGGATAAACGTGGTGGCCAGATTTGATATGAAAGTTGCTCAGTGGAAAGGCAATTGCGTCCTGGTTATTAACTTTGTTCATGACGAGAGCCTGTCATAGGGCCTATACGTTGATATGACTTAACATGCACATGCTGAAAACCGACAGTAACATAATCTGTGAGTTACTATTACCGCTGCATCTAGTCAAACTCTATACCACTCTAAAAATTCCCGGGTCAGATTTGACCCGGAAAAGGGTCAAGTGGGGCCTGACCCTTTTCCGGGTGAAAAATGACACTTCTCCGGGTCAAAATGACCCGGAAAAGTGTCATTTTTACCCGGGAAAGTGTCATTTTTTACCCGGGAAAAGTGTCATTTTTTACCCTGAAAAGGGTCAGGCCCCACATGACCCTTTTCCGGGTCAAATCTGACCCGGGACTTTTTAGAGTGACGGACAGCACAATACTGCATGATTTGTTTAAAAGAATGACACAATGTTGTAAAAGTCTCGCGCTGATGTACATTCGACATAGGAAAAGAGCAAAAGAACCATATCATTGCAAGTCTTTTTCCCCCTCGTTTTCTAGATTAGCAAGAATGAAGGTTTACATGTGCCTGCTTCTCCTGATGGTCGTTGGATGCACCTTGATTTTCGCAGAGACGGACGGTAAGTAAAATCATCCGCAGATATATGTCATCCACGAATGTTACCCAGAAATGTGAATACTTATTACAAGAAACTTGCTTGAAATCGGACCAGAGTGATACGAGTTAGAGTTCTTATGTCACCGTCCGTCTGAACCCCTTTCTGAGGGTGCCTTGTATCCTATTTCTCAGCCCTTAATTCTGCGACTGATGTAGTCAGTGCTTAACAGTTGTTTATGTTTACACTATGGTACTGTCTCTACTCGCACACGGCAAGCCTAGAAAAAATTACACTAATCCCATCAAGCCCGGTAAAGTAAGTTGACCCCAAATTATTCCTACAACAATAATAGCCTACGCAATCATTTTGTTGACATAACGAACAACAATAAGGTACTTTACTAGACCAGTAACGCTCACTCATCAGGCCTCCGTTATTCTCCAGTTCTACAGTTAGCGAACTTCGAAAACGTACTCATTTGAACTCATTCGCGTGTACGTGTCTGAATTATCATAATGATGACCATAACTGACAAAACACTATAATGAGATACGACGTCAGTGTACAAAGCAAGATTAAAACATTCCAAGTTTCCGTATTTAAATGCATTTTCAAGATCAGGCAGTGCTTCCACTTTTAAGAGATAATCCTTATTTTTAAGGAAATTTTAACGTCCTGAAATTTTAAAAGGAAATCCGTAATCGGAAGGAAGTTGAATGGAAATGTCAGAAACGTAAAGGAAAACACAAGAAAATCATTTAAAGACTGAGAGGCTCAACCGAGGCTGCGAGATACAGGGTGGTTAAAAATAAAAGGACACCCACATTTGAAAGCACTTTTCACCTATTTTTAAAAATTATTTTTAAAGTTGATTAATAGCTATTAAAGTACTGGCCTTTAAGCAGATGTGACGAAAAAATCATTGCATTTGCACATTTTTTTCGTTGAGCTATGCTAATTTGAAAATTTCTTGTGCGAAACCTGTTTGTCCACGGAGGTATACATGTACTCTCATCACAAATGCACCAATTCATGCTTGAGCATTATCATTTTCATCAGGTGGCTTAGATCTCATTTTCGTCAAGATCGTGACCGACTGGTCCAAAGCACCAAACTTGGCAGATAGATTATTATAGACCTAGAGAAGATATTTAGAAGGGGTGACACCTGAAATTCTTTTTGGAAGGGTGCCTAATTTGCATAATTTGTTAATACCTGCGTGTAATATATTTATTCCCATATGGGGGTATATTAATTTTCATTTTTATTTTTTTTGAAAAGTGTATTTTGGGGATTCTATTTACATATCTTTACTTAAATGTCATTTTCCAAAGCATATAAGTGACTGAATAATTATGAGGACATAGTAACGATCCAAAATGGCTACTATAATGCCCTAAAGTTGCGCGCATTTACCTTGTCTCCAGATATCATCAACTAGTCTTGCCAAACATCAGTATTGATGAACTTCAAATTCACCAAGTAGATTATTGGTACAGTTACCCCATTAAAACCTTATGCAAAATCATGTGAACAATGATAACATTGTGATGTTTAGCCCAGAAAACAAAAACTGGGGAAAAAAACGAGGTGTCCGTAATTTGGGGTAACAAGTAGGTGTATGTGAAGGGTTGCCAAACATGGGAGACTGCAACAAGTTCAAGGAAATTCCCAGGATTATTGTTGAGAAAACGTTTTGGCGTAGACAAAATTATTGTTCACAAAAAATAATCCCTTATTTGGGGGGGATTTCGTTGAACTTGTTCAAGTCCCCACATTCCCCTTCCCGTAGTAGCCCAATTTACGGACACCACATTTTCTCCCCTTTTTTTAGTCTTGCGGTCATAAACATCAAGATGTTATCAATTTTCATAAGATTTCCCACTTATTTTTGTTAAGGTAACTATGCCAGTAAGTAACTTTGTGAATTTGAAGCTCATCATTACCCACGTTTGGCGAGACTAGTTGATGATATCTGAGGAAAAGGTAAATGCGCGCAACTTTAGAGTAAAATAGTAGCAATTTTGGTTCTTTACTTTGTCCTCCTAATTATTCAGTCACTTATATGCTTAAGACAATATTATTGAAGTAAGAATATGCAAGTAGAATCATCAAAATACACTTTTCAAAAGAAATTAAAAATATGTAATTTTTTTGTTTTTGTTTTTGTTTTTGTTTGTTTTTTGTTAAGTTGTTTTTTTTTGTTGCTTTTTAAAGTAATATTTTTGTTTTTGTTTAAGTGTTTTTTTTTTTTGTTTTTTTTTTCCAATTTTATGTTTCAAAGTTTTTTTGCTTTTGGATATCTTAATTGTTTGTTTTGTATGTTTGTTTTGTGTTAAGTACTGAGAAACTAATAATATGGTCTAATAACGGGAAAATTACGGATTTCTTTATACTTTTAGTTTTTGTAAGTACTTAAATTGTTAGAGATAAAAGGAAAATTGTTACCCACTGTTACAGAGAATGATTTGAAAATTGTTTTTTTTTTGTTATTTTTTGGAATTGCATTGTCTACTATTTTGGAAAACGATTTGTTTTAACATTGAGACACATTTGGAATTTTGTTTTTCGATTGAAATGTAAGTTTTATGATTTTGCTTGTCGTTGTTTCGTCTGTTTCGTCGAAACTTTTATGTCAGTGTTAAACGGTATTGTGTTCTGTGCGAGTTTTGAATGCAATAGAAAGTGTGTCCACAGTCGGATCAGTTGTTGCAAGTGTTGTTTTACGGTTGCATGTCACTATTTGTACATCTTTTGTGGGATTTAAAACAAAAATGTATTGATGCTATTGTTCAGGTTAAGGAGCCTTGCGATAAAAAAAAATGATTAGTTTGTATTTATAACAATTTAAAATTCTTACATTCAGGCTTTCATGTTTGTGGTTTTGTACATCGTAGATTCGCAGGTTTTGTTAAAATACATCATACCTTCATACATTGGGAGAGGATTGTCATAAGTTTTGGATTGGCATACGTTGTCATACGTTTGAGCGCTTATCGTTTTTAAGTAAGTGTGCTACTTTTGTACAAGTTTCACGAAGTTAAAACAGCGTTCGTTTAAAGTGATGCTTAAGTGATGTGAAATTTTACAAGCTTGTTGATACGATGATTTCGATTTTTTCACAGCACAGTACAAATTGTTGACAATACTTTAAGATATACATCATTTATAAGCTACACTGCATACAACGGTGTAGGAGCAACCGTTCAAACACTTAATTGAATGGATCAATAAAACATTTATGTTCTTGCCCCCAAAGTACAATGAAGAAAACGCAACAACCCGAACAAAACTATTCTCGTGGCCGCTTCATCGTGCTATTAAATAAAACAAAAATACATATTTTGGTTAATACATTGTAAGATGTATAATTATTTGCTCTCTTCAATTTTCGGGACGTCATAATCATAAGTCGAATATACATCCAATATTGATAATTTCACCGGTAAATGCCATCTATTAAAAAGACTAATGTTTATTGTGGTGACACGACAACTGAGTCTGCATAAGTGACGGTAAACGTCTGTGCGCAACGTCTCAGTATGGACCTATCCGCTCCGTGCACAAGTACCCCATCAACGGCCAGAAAAGGAGAGTTGGGAATGATCTAGACTGGGGCTCGTTTTGGCGCTGTGACCGTAAACATGTTTCTGGTTTGCGGCCGTTTCGGCGCTTCGGTTACACTGAAATTACGTCATTGTTTCGACCAAAGTTGAACCGAGGTTTCCGGTCGGTTCACTTATGTTTCAAGATGGCGGAAAGGTGAACAAGCTTAGCAGACGACGTTACTCTTTACCATAAATGGGGTTTAAATAGTGGGTTTTTACCTTGAATTTGTACGAAAGTTGATACAGAATATCTACTCTTAGGGAAACGCTATAAAAAAAACCTCCCACTTTTGCTTTGAATGTTGTTACTCATGTCCGGTCGCCGTGTGATTTTTTGGGGGTTGTGTGCAGTCACGTAGGCAGTAACATGACGTCACGATCAATTTTCCGGTCAGTCGTTTTTGCGGTGCACAGGAAACATGTTTCAGGTCACGGCTGTGACGTCAGAAACATGTTCCAGTTGAAGGGCCGCCAAAACGTGCTCCTGATTCCCGATCCATCCACTGCGTATTTCGAATGTCTCCAAAGTTATTGGAGGCGGCTGCATTTGAATCAACTGCCTAGAGCTAGGTCTAGGTCTGTGCCCTTTGGAAATATACGCGGGGACGCGCTGACAGTAGACGAAGCCGTAGCTCTGGAAGCCCGTTTCGGACACGGCCTTAGTTTCGAAGACCATTTTCAAGTTGAATTCGAATGTATTCGTGCGCCGACGACGCCTGACGCTCACGCGAAGACGCGGTTGCTATAGCTTTTGCACACTTAGGAAGTCGTGCGTACTTTGCGCACGAACCAGTACAGTACAGTACGCGCACGCTGTGTCCCCCGTCCACGGAGCTCTCAAAAGAGATAAAAACGCGCCCTTTTTGGTCGCACACGGAGCTCATACGGTGGTCTACAGACTGCGGAACTGCTGAAACTTAAAGAGGTTGTGGAATGCTCGAAGACATTTCCGTCATTTTGGGGGTATATGTAGCCTAAGGTCTAATGAAATAAATACGACTATTGTTTCTGTCATGAAATGAGTACAAAAGGTACTTTTGAGAGCTGTTTTTCAGGTCCTGTTTCGACCCGAACGTGCAATTTGTGTAAAAGTCGTCGTTGCGGGCAACAAACAAAACACAGTAAATCGTGACGTAATAAACAGGACTCGTTTATGCTACTCTGCATCGGGAGTCTTGTTTATTACGTCACGATTTACTGTGTTTTGTTTGCTGCCCGCAACGACGACTTTTACACAAATTGCACGTTCGGGTCGAAACAGGCATGACAGGACTTGAAAAACAGCTCTCAAAAGTACCTTTTGTACTCATTTTTTTGACAAAAACAGTAGTCGTTTTTATTTCATTACACCTTAGGCTACATATACCCGAAAAATGACGGAAATGTCTTCGAGCATTCCACAACCTCTTTAAACGCGGTTGTATAGCAATCGTATAATTTTGTGAACCGGTCCCAATGTGTTGCGAACGCGAAATAACTTGTCACACTGTTATAATAGGAGGACATTGTAATCGTGAAACGAAAAACCATTGACTCCATGGACACATATCGAATGCATACTGTGAGCGAGCTCTTCAAGTCAATGACCCAATGTATGCATTGTTAGCGCCCTCTATAAACTACGGATTGCGGTTCCAACTTCATGCGTATTCACAAAGCTCTCCTCGAAAACAATTGTCCACAGTGACCGCATGAAATCAAACCGGGTACCATTACAAAAATGTCAACCTTAAACACATCACTGAATTACATTTAAACGTATAGTATACACTTTATACGGTGACATGTTTTATGCTTTGCCTTATTAATGTTTTTGCTTTGCTAACATGTAATTAAATAAGGGAATAAATGTGTGCTCCGGAGGTTTTTATCACTCTGTTTAATACCACTTAGAGTCTGGGTGCTGATAATTACCCGAGCCGGAGGCGAGGGTAATTATCAGCACCCAGACTCTAAGTGGTATTAAACAGAGTGATAAATACCGACGGAGTACATATTTATTCCCATTCATAAATACCTTTTCGTTAAAAAAAAATCATATAATTTGTTCAAAACATCCCGATTTTGTTTAACAAATTCACTTTATGCTTTTTGAATCATCCCTCCTGCAAAATAATGGAGTGTTCAGCTGGCGAGTAAGATGAAAACAACCCTTTTATGGAGATTGACGCGCGCGTATCATGTTCTATGCGATGTCGCGCAGAACGCACCTGGCGCGTTGCGTTTTGAATTTAGAACTATAAAATTCTAACTCCCTGGTAGTGTTGCGCATGCCTACGTGAGGATTGTGAACGTTCAACCAATGAAACGATAAGAGGCACTGGATTTTTAGGAGTCCACATTTTATTGTGACACTGGAAAAGTGTTTAAGACCAGCTAGCCATGTCTTTATCATCCGTTTAATACCGGCCACGTGACGGGCTCTCGACCAATAGGAATGGCTAAACTGTCTGAGGTATTTATGAATAGATATTCATAAATACCTAAGACAGTTTACGCATTCCTATTGGTCGAGAGGCCGTCACGTGGCCGGTCTTAAACGGATGATAAAGACATGGCTAGCTGGTCTTAAACACTTTTCCAGTGTCACAATAAAATGTGAACTCCTAAAAATCCAGTGCCTCTTATCGTTTCATTGGTTGAACGTTCACAAACCTCACGTAGGCATGCGCAACATTACCAGGGAGTCAGAATTTTAAAGTTCTAAATTCAAAACGCAACGCGCCAGGTGCGTTCTGCGCGACATCGCGCAGAACATGATACGCGCGCGTCAATCTCCATAAAAGGGTTGTTTACATCTTACTCGCCAGCTGAACACTCCATTATTTTGCAAGAGGGATGTTTCGAAAGGAAAAAGTGAATTTGTTGAACAAAATCGGGATGTTTTGAACGAATTATATGATTTTTTCTTACCGAAAAGGTATTTATGAATGGGAATAAATATGTGCTCCGTCGGTATTTATCACTCTGTTTAAGACCACTTAGAGTCTGGGTGCTGATACTTACCCTCGCCTCCGGCTCGGGTAATTATCAGCACCCAGACTCTAAGTGGTCTTAAACAGAGTGATAAAAACCTCCGAAGCACACATATATTCCCTTAATTCAACCTACACCGTTCATCCAAATGACAAACAAATTCATATTATAATCCCTACACAATACATCCGGTAATCCTTTTACCTATTTAATACTCTTTACAATGGATCCTCATTGCTCCTCAAACCGCCCCCACAATTCCCCAAGAACGTGTACAAAAAAGGGGGCGGGGCACTACCTATACTGCCGTGCAGCACTACTTCTTAAAGGGAAAATACAACATTTGCAAACATCAAAAAATAAAACTACCAAATCATTTTGAAATACCTTGCTGGACTGTTAGTGAATGACAGTGTAAAGCATCCTGTAAAATCATGGCACCTGGTATACTGTCATTTTCAAGAAAAGTGGTATTTTTGTATCAATTTCCAACGCTGATCGGCCGATCAGCGTTGGAAACAACTGGCTTTTTTTTTCAAATACTGGCCCCAATTGACCATCGCACTTGTTTACAATCGATTACAAACCTATGAACGGGTACGAGCCAGCTAGACTGGTTCCCTGACCTTACAATTCCCCAATGTATGTAAACTGCTCTGTTTCTTCTTATATGGAGTCAGGGAACCAGACTACAGGAAAAAGATCGTTTTTCTTGGTTTTTATAGCATTTTCGAACCCAAAACCTCAAAAAAGTCAGTGTAACTATATTTGCTATATATTTCTAACCCCCCAATTCCATCCATTTCTGAAAATTACAGCAAAAGCAAATGATGTATATTCCCTTTAACACTGACATGAATAATTGCACAGCTTCAATAAAAGTTACCAGGGCAAAATATATTTTGATGGGAAGGTTTTTCAATTTTTATAAACTACGAAAAAAAAAAAAACGTCCAATTTACATAAAATGACCCGTGGACTAGACTCATTTTGATGAGTTGTATTCAAATTAGCATGATGTCACTATTTTGCGACTTTTACTAAGCTTTTTTTTCACCATGCATGGTTAAAGGCCTTTACTTTACTACTATGTGAAACAATATTTAAGATAAGTAGGTGAACATTTCTGTCAAAAGTGGGTGTCTTTTTTTTTTAACCACCCTGTACATTATCCACGACCAGGCCCCATACGCGGGTGTTAAACGTGCGTGCTCTAAGCCAGCAATCCATTTTATTCCCATTCATAAATACATTTTAGAAAGTCGAAAAAATCAATACTTAAACAAAACTCCGACTATTGTGTGAAATAATTATATTTCACACTTTGTCAAACACCCCTCTGACCATGTCTACGGTTTGTGCCCCGCGCGCGTATACTACGTACGGGGTGAGTAAAAAAAAACTGGAACCCAAACCCCCCAAAATATATTGGGTCTTTGTGTTTAAATGGCAATATTCTTTGAACGGATTGAGTAATTTCAGTACTTTTTCGTCTAAAAGTAGCTTATGAAGTTGGCTTTCCAGTCATTATTATTTTTGGTGCTACATATTGTTTCTATATGAAATATAATTTTGGGGGTTGAAGCTCCGCTTTTTTGACTCACCTTGTATAAAAAGTTCCTGTATGAAGATTAGCGCCTGATGTGGCTCAGAAAGCTGCCGTGAATGGTTGGAAATCAATCCCGTTACTGGATGTCGACCAATAGGAATGGGTAAACTGTCTCAGGTATTTATGAATATTTTCAAAGGATAAAAATCAGGAAACTCCAAGAGCATGCTATTAAAGGAAATTTTAGAAGAAAAATAATGCAATCTAATGAAATTCTGCATTGTTTGGAAAGTGAAATACTAAGATCAGGAGAGGACGAAATCCGCGCCCGGCTGATAAATCTCTTTCAGGAAAATTAGACTGGTGTGTTTGCTTTAATGAACCCCGCCCTATCTTGATCGTTTTTTTCCACTGCCTATGACAGACGTTTTAGAGTGCAATGAGGCTGGACCCTTTGGGATGGAAGATGGACGTATCCCAGATGCAAGCATCACAGCTTCGTCATATTCCACTTCTTATCCACCGCGAGAAGGTCGGCTAAACTTTGACGGTAAATTATTTAATTGGCGTTTTATTCAACAATTCCATAAGACAAGCAACAAGACAACTCAAACAAAATGTTAGGATTCAATTAGAAAATTCGTCAACAGCTTAAAACAAATCAAGAGATTAAAACTCTCTCATCAAGAATGTTGCTTCCAAGTGAAGTCTGTTTTGCTTAATTTCTTTCCGACATTGTTTCGGTCAGTGAATATCACTTAATTTCACCAGTTCCTCTTCAAACATAGGCCTTTTGCATGAGTTTGCCATTTTTGTCGAGTTCCCTGAATGTAATTCTTAAATTGTTAACTGTTGATTGAGAAGGCGCCAGACTATTTATGCAGCCTTTTTTGTTGTCATTTTCTGAAAAATCTAGCTTAAAACATGTATTTATTTATTTATTTATGCCATTTCTTTACCCAGGTTATGCCCAAACAGTTTAAAACTGGTTTCCATTGGGGCCCTGCATACAATAAATATTGACTACAAACATGTATAATTATACAATACATTACAAATGCAATAAATTTAAATACAGTAAGATTAGTGAATGTTTAATTACAAATTTTAAATAATTCATTAAAGCAAGAATTGAATTATTAGTAATTTGCTTGCTTTCTTCGCAAGTTCAAAAAAAAAAATTTCACCTCACTTTCAATTCAATTTCGCCGACTTGTGCGTAAGGCACATAGCCCAGCCCCTCGTTCAATCACGGAACCACATCTGAGCATAATTGAGATGCTAAGTACAAATCATTTTTGCTAAACGACCAAAGGGGGAAGGTTACCAGCGAATATATATTGTATGAAGTAAACTGCTTGTGGCTGGTTCCCGGCCGATTTTTGCTTATCACATACAATTGGCAGTGCGATAGTACCTGCTCAGCTTACTGTGCAAGTGTGGTCTTTCCCTGGTGTAGTGCTTGTGGCCTAAATTTGCTAAACACTTTTATGCACAGACGGTTTGATTTAAGTTCTGCTTATTTTGCAGACGGAAGCTGGAGGTCAGGTTGGTGTAATGCAGATAGACGTGAACTCCAACCTTGGATCCAAGTGGACCTGGGTTGCGATGGAATCATCACTAGCGTTATCACGCAGGGGATGAGGGGCTATTCTTCGACGGTGATATCGTACAGAGTTGCCTACAGCGACGATGGACGAGAATGGACTGTGCTCACCAATAATGGATCAGTTGTCTATGTAATCCAATTGCTTTATTTGATTTGCCCGGCCCACTGACCAACTAAATTTCATGAACAAGTGTACACTCAGTGTGCCCATCGTGAGATAGATAAAATTCACAAGCTTTATGCTATAGATCGGTTGAGACTTGAACCCACTACCTTTTGATTACGGGTGCAGAAGTTGAATGGAAATTAAGCTAGATCATTTCGAACTATAAGCATAACACAGGCAAGCTTTGTGGTCAATCGGTATTACAAAACACTCCCACTAGTAAACATGTGGTCGTGGGTTCAAGTTCCAACCAAGTAAACATTTTTTCATCACTTTTTTTTATTTAGAAGTAAATGTAACAAATACCAAGGGACAATTGTCAGTTTGGGATTTGTTGTCTAATCGACTTATGTTTCCTTCCAACCATTTTCCAGTCATTAATCTGCTGTCTCCGTCAACTTTTCAACGATAAGTAAGATTTGAGGCTTTGCATGGTGGAGATAATAATGAAAGGTTTGCGGAAACACCATGTGCGAATAATTTCTCAACTAAGAGAATGGTTCTGAAAAGAACCAGAGGTATAAACTCGACGTTCCGGTCAGTATGCTCTCTCCCGAAGACGGTCAGAGCAAACTGACCGGAACGTCGAGTTTATACCTCTGGTTCTTTACATAACCATTCTCTTAGTTAAGAAATTATTCGCACATGGTGTTTCCGCAAACCTTTCATTATTTTCAATGAAAGTTGAAATCATTTCCATAATTTTTCACCCTCACAGTTGCGTGGATCCTATAACAACGACACCGCAGTGACCAATACTTTGCCGAGAGCGATCCGGGCCAGGTTCCTGCGCATCTACCCTCGGGGGTATTACGTGGGCATCTGTATGCGCTTTGAGGTCGTCGGCTGTTGTCCCTAGTCAACTCCGTGCATGCAAAAACCCTAGCTCTAATGCTTAATTGGAAATATGATAAACTTAAACATACCAGCACAAAAACCAATGAACAAACAAATGAATTAAATATAAAATGCATGACGTTTGCGCTAAGATTAACCACTTACATTCTGAATGAGGGCTACGGTGGACCAGTCTAAAAACTCTGAACCTACATAATGACATAGCTACAGCTCTTTAGTGTCACCTTCCAATGACCATTCGAGCTCGGGTTTTCTGATCTATGCTGGAAAAATAAATCGGTTTGATGAAAACTGAAAGTTAACATTAATTAACATTTGCCTTTTTTTTAGAGTCATAAAGATTTTCATTGACACAAAATATAAAATTTAATTACTATATATTGACATGGGCTATACAGCATCGTTGTTTGCATGTAGTAAATTATAAAAGCAGAATATTGGGACAGAACACGAACTATTCGCCAACCGTATGTTCAAGCACCATAGAAAAACATGCGAGTCACCAACACGTTGCATATTGGGGAATTTTGGTGGTTGATTGGTCAATTTAGTTAAGGCACTGCTGCATGGCAAAGAAAAGCTACACATTTAGTCTAAAAGCGGCTGTATTCGGGGCAAGATTTGACTTAAACTTGATGATAAATTGCTGACTGAATGATTGTTTGATTTCTTACTGATTGGGACAATTATTAATGATACTCTTGATTATAATGAAATGACAATGCATACGAAGATGAATGATTAAAGGCGAATGACCACTATCCCAGATCCATGGACTCCTACCAATAATTACTACAATGTAGTCTACGTTCTTAGGTTGGATCCGCAGCGATTCCTGTAGGAATAAAAATTTATAAGGGCCAAGTCCCCTTGTTAATTACAGGTCCAGAGCAGTGGCGTAAGCAGTCGGGGCCCAGGGGAGGTAGGGATCATTCATCCTCGCCATCCCCCTCAATTTGTTACGAATGCCCTTTTTTCATCAGCACCTGTACTTCATTGTATGGCATTGTGTTCATTCAATGAAGAATCGATTAAACCATAGGGGTGCACCCCTGTATTAAAATTGCCATAGACACCAGTGCTAAATGCCCATATTAAATGCCGTAAAAGTCTTTTTAAAATACTCCGAACTCTCACAGTCGTTTATATAGGCTGCACAGAAAGATGATTACTTACAGTCATGTTAAGCAAAAAAAAAACATATTCGGTCTCTGGTCAGACAAAGGTTCCAGAATTGACGCGGCCACGCGGCTTTTTTTTTTTTTTTTTTTTTTTTTCTTCAAGCTTGGATTGTACAGACAAGGTGGGGTACTATTTGCTTTTTTGGTGTCCTCATGTACATTGGTGTCCTCCATAGTTTGCCTTGGTGCTTTCGATCATTTGCCTTGGTGCAATTTCCCATTCCTTGGTGCTCTTTGGTGATTGAGGAGGTGCAGAAATAGAGGGCGCTGTTGGAGCTACCGCGGAACATTTTGGGAAAAAAAAGATCGACGCGCATGATTAAAATCGACGCGCGCGCTGACCAGAGACCAACTTATTATTTTTTGTTTGGCCTTATCCTTCATTTTTTTTTCTTTTCAATTTTTGGTGGGGTGACCCTTGACTTTTCGAGAACTTCTCACCCAAAGAAGACAACCCCCAAAACGAGTGATGTTTGTTAAGTTAAAAGTTTGGAGGAAACACGCGGAGAATTATTGTCCAGAATAAAAAAAGAAGATTTATCAGAACAATTTAACAGTGGCGGGCTGTCACTCAAAAAGGTGATCGGGTCGTACCGCTCACCCAGAATAAAGAAATCAGAATGATTTCAAACAGAACTCTTTAGAGGGGAAGATAGGACACAAGGCATCTTTTTGTACGGTGACCTGTGAAACACGATGACGTTATCACATCGGGCTATGGGAAAGGGCGCCCACAATGGTATAGGTATGCAAACGCGCGTGCGGCAAAGGTTATACACGTGAATTATAAAGGACATGGGGTGTAACATTTCCTTTGATGAAGGGGAAAACCATACGCACAAAGGACGAACCGGGCCTACTCTTAGTATAACCCATTGCTCATAATATGAATCGAATGCTTATGTTATAAGGTGTAATAATAATTCATATTATTTTATATTATACATTACATCAAAAGCGCTTTACATTAAAAAAAAATACATAAAAAAAAAAAAAGAATAAAACAGTCATTAATAATTTAATTAATTAGTTTAACAATTAATTCAAAAAGGTATGTTATAGGCCATAAGCAATAATACACATGAGGCAACTGAGTGGAAAGAATAGGGGACAATTGTTCACCCCACCTCTATCAGTGAATCCATGCGGTAAGCTCAGTACTGTCATCTGTCAAAACAGTTTTTAGGCACTCTTAGGCATTTCCTTCCCCACGCATCACATGAGTAGTGATATTAAACAGAGAATGTACTCCTTTAAAACGCTACCTATTTGCATGATTTGCTGTCGTCAATAGAAATTTCTGTTTTTGGTGATGTATTGTTTCATCGGATTGACAACAAGTCAATGAGCAAACATTTAAGTCGGACAAATGTTTTCAATGAGCAAATTTCGGTGACACACCGAAACAGCTATTGTTGTTTTCGTTAAGATTTTTTTTCTTTGTTTTTTCTCCTTTTTCAGACTTTTACTCCATAGGTTTTGTACACGTTTCTTCTACCAGTCCACTTGGTATATACTTAGACCACCACCCACAGATGGTCCTAGAAGAAATTCGTGACCGTGACGTCATCATGTGTCGGGTTACGTTACATTAAAGATGCATTTTCCCCCGTAGGGTTTGTACACGTTTTAAAACACTCCACTTTGGCACGTTTGTAAATCTGATCGATGTTAGACTACGACGCACAGATGGTCCTAGAAAAAATTCGTGATCGTACCATAACAATGCCGAGATGTGTTATAGATGAAAATTCAAGTGATGTAGGTCCCTTAAATGGGCATTTTGTTCTTTATAGGCCTATATTTCAATGTTCGTTTTGGTTGTAACTTGGATGATCCTAGAAAAAATCGTGATCGTGACGTCATCAGGTGTCGGGTTACGTCACATTAAAGATGTATTTTCCCCGTAGGGTTTGTACACGTTTTAAAACACTCCACTTTGGCACTTTCGTAAATCTGATCGACTTCAGACTTGGTTCATACTTAGACCACCACCTACAGATGGTGATTGTGACGAAATTCGTGACCGTGACGTCATCAGGTGTCACGTTACCTTACATTAAAGATGCACATTTTCCCCATAGGGTTTGTACATGTTTTAAAATGCTCCATTTCGGCACTTTCGTAAATCTGATCGACGTTACACTTGGTACACACTTAGACCACCACCCACAGATGGTCCTAGAAGAAACGTGACATCATCAGGTGTCACGTTACTTTACATTAAAGATGCATATTTCCCCATAGATTTTGTACACATTTTAAAACACTCTAACTACTTTGGCACTTTCGTAAATTCGATCGACTTTATACTTGGTACACACTTAGACCACTACCCATACATAGTTCTAGAAGAAAGTCGTCATCGTGACGTCATGAAGTGTCAGGTTACGTCACATTAAATATGCATTGTTTCCCTATAGGTTTTGTACACGTTTTTTTAAACCATACACTTTTCCACTTCTATATGTCTGATTGACTTTACACTTGTCAGACACTAGTAAGACCATCAGCCTAAGATGGTCCAAAGTGAGTTCGTAACGATGACGTCATCATGTGTCACGTGACATTAAATGTGCATTTCTTCGATTTGCTATAACTTCGGAAGTACATGTCCGATTGGATTAAAACGTGGTATGCACAATCGCATGGATATGTTATAGATATGAAAATTGAAGTGACGTCATCATCAAATGTCATGTGACGTCCCTTAAAGGGGCATATTATTCTTTTATAGGCCTATATATACAGAACTATAATGTTCAATTTAGTTGTAACTTGACATGTATGCATTATAATGTGCTGTTTTAGATGACATTTACAGTGACGTCACTGATTGTTCGTCACGTGCACAGAGTATTTCAAATATACGTAACAGCTTGTGTTTGTCCACAAACACATGTCTAGTTATATATACCTTTTGATATTTTACAGTATTATTTCCAAAGTGCTTTCGCTTTGGATTGTGTGCGTGCCTATTGCACACGTGTACTTGACGCATGTGTCCCCACACGTGCATCTACATGTATTATCGTACAAAGGAGATATAGATGAGCATTAATGTTCATACGAACAATAGTCATGTGCGGCCCAACATCAACATGGCATTTCTTTTAAAACCTGTTTTCTAGTCTGATATGGTATCACGTGACCTCGCTGAGTACGTCTCCGCCATTTTCACCGACGTCACAGGCAATAAGACGAAGACACTGACAGCACCTCAGGGCACGGCGTCAAAACATCTGCCACGTGTATATAATGTCTCTGCTCCGATGAGTTGAAAAGAAAAAATTGTCCATAAAGGTCTATAATTGGTACGGGATGATATACGGCCTCGAGTCCTGCCTAATCAGAAACATGAGCTCATCACATGTTCGAACATCCTTAAAACTTCATCAACAACGTCAAGCAATGAATTGTCTATTGCGTGCAGATTTCGGCTTCCTAAAATTGGGATGTTAGAAATTGCCGAGGGGTGTAACGCATGGGACATGGTGAATCCCCCCACCTACGCCCCGCCCCCAGACAGTCTTCATCATTACCCGACCACTCATACACCATATCTCGCTGTCTGCGACATATGTTATTATTAACCAGCCCCTGCCCACGCAGCTCGTGTTCGTGTCTATTTTTAGAAGGCTGCCAATCATGAGATTGCCTCCGAGTTCCATGCAAAAAAAGGATTTCTTTCATTTCCTGTCTATTTTTTTCCAGGGGGGGGGTTCTTAATATGAAAGGCTCACAGTTAAAACTTGGTGTGTTTCATATACAGTGTGTTGCAGGCTGTCTTAGCGGGCTATACTTTGTGTTCTTACTCATTTCTTTCTAAAACTTTTTAAATTAACTCGCAATTAAAATTATTATTTTACAATCAATTTTGCAATAATAATATATAATAATATTTGCAATAATAATTATAATGTTTTCTAGTGATTTTAAGCAACTTGTTAATTTCTAAATTGTTGGGTAATACTTTCAATATGTACATTTTTAACCGGAAAAAAATATCAAAATATGATATTCAAACAGCTTGATATTATTGTAGTGTGTGGCAGGCGACCTGTTGTATATTGTGCGGTTGTATTAATATGAACTTATTTCGCATCACGATTATTGATATCGGAAATGCACGCACAGGGACCATCCCTATAGGATCGCGCCGCGCTTCTAATGAAGCTGTCACCTGTCAGCAGAAAAAAAAATGTGGAAAAGAAAAACAGAGCCATTCGGCAATTTAACAACCTTTTGGATTTATCAACCGCCGACAAATCCGAGAACGTGGCAACTGAATCATGCATATTCGCCGCAACACTCGGCTACGAGACAGCACACCCAACACGTAAGTCTAGTTTGAAGAAGAAAAAAAACCACACACACACAAACAAAACATGCGGCTCAAGACCAGGCTTATCGACTGTAAACCGTCATTTCTCGTCGCGACTACAGCCGAGCAACCTCCCCCGCAATTTCTCCTGGACTCTGCTCGCAGATTGCAGAGC